GCCGGCAGCCAGTGTGAACAGCTGTGAGCGGCCGTCCAATGGCCGGCGAGCGACTGCCTCACCCAGGAAGAGTGCAGTGATCACAATACCAACATGAGCCAGTGAAGCAACGTCCTCTACAATAAGACTGAAGAACAAAAGGACAGCAACTTGTCTGTTCCCCTTCCCTGATTCCCCAACGCTGTTCCCCTCTCCCAATTCCCCAATAAAATCTTAAAAAAAAAAAAAGTTAAGGATGGGAGTAACCATTTAGCTCAGTTGGTTGGAGTGTGGTGCTGATAACACCAAAGTTGCCAGTTCAATCCCCACATGGGCCACTGTGAGCTGCACCCTCCCTAAAAGAGTCAGCTATGCCATTGTAGCATGAAAGCAATGTGTAACCAATGACCATGGCTGTTTCCCAATAAAATAAAATTTTAAAAAGTTAAGGATAAAGCACTTTTATTGCAATTGAAACATTGAAACATGGAGTATACATTGAAACATTATAGGGGCAGCCTTCATGTAATGTATAATCTACTATTCCTCTAGGGTTTTCTTCTTCTAGGGTATTTGAACATTAAACTGGAGCATTAAGTGCCCCTGGGGTCCAGGATTTTGCCTATGAAGAGAAGGGCCCCTGTGTCAGTGTCCCTTAGTACAAAGATGAAAGGCTGGTTAAGGTGATAGTCCAGGGGGAAGGTGAGGCGGGCAGGCTGGAGTGCCGCGCTGGGGGTGGCGCCTGCCCCATCCTCATTCCACTCGAAGCCAGCTCTGTGTTCCACTTGAGTAAGTTTGATAGGTTTGCCCGTGACCTTGCTCAAGTCTGGTGAATCGAACAAGGACTGCAGCTCTGCAGAGATTGAGAGAGATTTCCATTAAAACCCTGCCTTATCCAACACCCAACGAAGAATACCATCCTAATTCTTAAATCCTAATTCAAGGAGGTAAGCACGCTTTGAGGTACACAGGGCTCCGGGCTGGTGAAGGGTTAAGTGACTTTCCCAGAAGCACGCCGCAAGTGAGGTTAAGATTAGAAATGAGGTCAACAGACCTGTTCTTGAGAGGCAATGTTCTGCGTACCTGTTATAGGACGTACACTCGCTCATGGGGCTAAGGAATGAGTCTGATCAGGAGGAAGCTCAGTCTCCGCCCAACCCACCCACCCTCCAGAGCTATGTATTAGAATTAAAGAAGCATCCAGGGTCTCCCTACAAAATCGTGGAGCCCTCCAGTTCTGCTTAGCAAGGTGGAAGGCTCAAACACCCCCCCACCCCCACCCCAAGAGCAAAGGTCTTGCACGCGTACTCATCTCCTGCAGGGACTTGGTAACTTCGCCTTCGTAACTCAGCTTCAGCTTGGGGATGGTCAGCACTGCTTGAACCGTCTTCAGTTCTCGGTCAATGTCATGAATGAACTCAGAGGTGAGGCTCTCTTCTATCATGGTCAAATTCTGGGTCACTTTCAGAGGCAGGAAGAAGATGATACTCGTGCTTCCGGTCAAGGGCAGCTGGGCAATCTGGAACCACAGGGAGGAAACCACATGGGTTAGTCCTTTGGAGCCTGGGAGCCTCCAGACGGACACACACACACACTCCACCCCAGCTGCCTTCCCTCTTCTGCAGTGGGCCCCATTTACCAATTGTCCCGCTAGGCCAGGGGTCGGCAAACTGCAGCTCATGAGCCACATGCAGCTCTTTGGCTACGTTCTGTCTCAAAAGTTTGCCAACCCCTGGAAGAGCCAATCCTGTCCCTCACAACAATTTAAAAATTATTTGGGAGCCATAAGTATACTTTTACAAATAAGGAAAATTTAAATTAATATTATAAATGAAACTATGATAGTTTTATTTCCATTTTCAATTTTACTTCAGAGCCACATGTACGTACCCAAAGAGCCGCATGTGGCTCGCGAGCCGCAGTTTGCCGACCCCTGCTCTAGGCTATTGCTTTCTGGCAGCAAGACCTCTCCTGATGGTCCCTCAGAAACTTGACTGTGGTCTTTTCTTACCTTGGCCTAATACCAACTGAAGTTATCTGCTGAAAGAAATTTCTCCTGTGGTTCTAAGGGAGCTAGAATTGAATTTCAGGTCTGTGTTTTCTCCCAATGTTTGTCTGCCAACAATTACTGATCATCTGTTATGTACAGAGCCCTGTACTAGAAAATGGAGGTGTTGGGCACAGCAACACAGAAACAGCAGGGAAATGGATCCCTTGAGCAGAGGTTCTTAACCCAAGGCCCGTGGGACCAATGGTGTCAGGGGCCCTAATCGCTCCTGAAATTATATACAGAAATGCATGCATATGCGTACATGGCATTTATTTTGAGTGTTTCAGGTACTTTGTCATATTCCCAAAGAAAAAGTTTAAGAACTACTGACTTAGAATTAAAATAATTCAGATATATGTGAAAGACTTACAATGTCAGCAGTTTGGATTTTGTGACAGTTTGGGTTTAAATTCGAGAAATAAAAGTTCTCCCCCACCCCCCAAAAAAAGAGAGAGAGAAAGAAGAAAGAAGGAAAGAAAAGACAAAAAACACCAACATTTTGAGTGCCCAGTCTTGAGGGCCCATTTCACATTACCTGATTAATTCTTACAACAAAGCCTGAGAGGGTAAGTTTTGATAACTACCAACCTTTTAGACAACAGGCTCAGAGAAGCTGTTAACTTGCTGAAAGTCACACAGCAGGTAAAATTTAGACAGCTGTCAGATCTCAA